CTTTCCCCCACCAGCTCATGCAAAAGAGTTTCTGCCATCAGAGTGCTTGCACTGTCTCACACCCCACATGCCTCTATCCAGACTCCAGTCCCTTCCAGCCATGGTGGCTCTCCCGCCCTGGCTCCTGCTGTGCCTGGCGGAGCTGCTGTGCCCTGGGAAGGGACGGTTTTGCTCCTGTGCATGTCTGATTTGGGACATTCATTTTGCTCAAGGCCGTGGGTGGAGAGACACCAGGCCCTGCGGCCTCCTTCCGCCAGCAGGCAGCGTGTCTCTGCTGCTGTGGCCGACGGCCCTGTGCACGGCCCCGGGCCACTTACTGCAGTAATGCTGGACGAGCTGGCGCAGCGAGGAGAAGGAGGTCTTGGGGGAGATGTAATACCCCCCGCCGTCCAAGGAGCGGATCCGGTAGTGTTTGATGATGTCGCCCTCAGTAGAGCTGCTGTCTCTCACGGACAGTGAGAAGGCACCTAGAGAATAAGTAAAAGGAACCACGTTTACCAGCAGTGAGACCGACCTGAGGGCCTTCCCCTTCCTCCAGCACCTCGTGTCTGCCACGGGACCCAGCCCATCCCACAGACGGGCCCGTCTCTGCTCCGGCTATGCAGGGGCAGGACACGCAACGCTCTCGCCTCCCGTCCGTTTTCCACCTTGGTGAAATCCGGGCATGCGGCCCACATTCCACAGGGGGCTCAGGAGTCACCAGAGTGGATCAAGCACAAGATCCTGCAATCTCACCGGCCACATGCCAGGCTGAGGCTCTCTGGTCCGGCACCCTCAGGACCTGGCCGGTGCCGAACCAGAGAAGTTGCCAGACCACGGGAGGTCAATATTGTCTAGCAGCATGACCAGCCCTTCCACGGCTGACTGGGAGGTGCGTCTACGCAGCACCGTAACTCGAAATAAGATACGCCATTTGAGCTATGCAAACCGCGTACCTTATTTCGACACTATTTCAAAATAGCTTATTTTGTCACTTAGCGCAGTCCATACAGTGCCAAATTTCGAAATAAAGCGCTATTCCGAAACGTCTCTTACTCCTCGTGGAAGGAGGTTTACAGGGACGTCAGAATAGCAAACCCGAAATAATGGGCTTGCTGTGAAGACGCAGGGTAGATATTTCAGGGTACTCCGGTATCCTGAAATAGTGTTGCAGCGTAGGTATTTAGTGGTAAATTAGAGCCAAATAACAGCACCGAACTCTGAGCGCCGCAGGCCTGGTGGCTATAAACAAGCCTTATGGGACCGCGGGACACTTGGCCACGCCCATGCGAAGTGGATATCCAGCTCACTCAAATCATGCCGGACCATGGATGTTGCCAGACCACAGAGTGCCGGACCAGAGAGTGCCGGACCAGAGAGTGCTGGACCAGAGAGTGCCGGACTAGAGAGTTCAACTTGTAGATGCTTCTAAGTGTGTGTGGAGGGGCAATGAACACCATGGAACTCTATTCTGTCCCTGACGAGCGATCAGCATAGATAAAGGAGCATGGTATTTCATGACGGGATGATCTAGACAGTACTGGGTCCTGCCATGAGGGCAGGGGACTGGACTTGATGACCTCTCGAGGTCCCTTCCAGTTCTACTGTTCTATGATGCTATGTTAGTATGACCACAAGGAGCCTTAGCTTGCATTGCTCAGGCCCAGCTCTTTGAAATCCCACCAGCAAGATTAGTTTTGTCATGAAGTCACTGGAGCGATGCTCAGGAGAATGGGTCTCCGCTCCTGGCTCTATCACATGCTGCCCTTGTTATCTTTGACACGTCAACCTGTCTCCATGCCTCAGTTTCCCATTCGTAAAGTGGATCTTCTCCCACCCACGGCCTATGTCGTCTGCACGTGTCTTCTGTCCACGCGGCCATCTGGAGGGGGGAGGGGAGTGCAGCATGGGCCGATACGCTCAACCCGGCTATGATCAGTCTGGCTCGAATACCCCAAGCAATGAAGCTGCACGGGACCCTGGACAAGCCCGCCGGGGACCATGGGTATGTTCATGAGCAGCGTGGCTAGCCCCTGGTGCCATCCCACCTCTGGCTGTGGTGAGGACGTACCCTTTGGAGCTGAGATGCTTCCAACGGGTGTAGTCGATACAGGAAAATGAGCATACGGTATGATCCCACGGGGAGATCACATGATTAAACATCACCAAGGCAAAGTGTCAGGAAGTGTTATTACCATGGTGACGACCATCCCAGTGTCTGGCAAAACACCCCTTCCCTGACATGCAGCAGCCTTTAGTATTCAAATCCTGAGGTTTCATACGGGTCTGAAAATACACCTCTACTCTGCTCTGCACAACTCACTCCAATATCGGGCTGCCAGTGTGTGTTTAGGATGCAAAGCAGGGGTTCTCAAACTTTGTGATACCGCGACCCCCCTCTAAGTTGCTCGTGACCCCCTGGGAGGTCAGGACCCACAGATGTAAAGGATCAACCAGTTAACTGGCAACCCAGTAAGCACCACCCTTACTGGGTGATGCTTACTAGGTAACTGGTTAGCCGGTGGTCCGGCCGGACTGGAGCAGTTCTCCGTCTGCAGGCCTGGCCTGGCTTGCCTGAAGCAGCCCCTGCCCGCAGGATCCCTGTGAACCATAACATTTAACAGGTTCACTTTTTAAACGGGATTTTGTATCCCTAGGATGTGTAAGGAGCAGCACTTTAAAACGTATTTCCGTAAAAACTGCCAGGCACCGTGGAGAGATTATTTCCTTTGTCTGGAGTTTGTTTCCGAACGTGGGGTAGGCCCGATGAATTTGGATGCATGTGCAATTTTTCGTGTTTGAAATGCTGGCTTCTGCAAAAGCAAATCTGCCATCGAGGACCATAAGCAGAAGTCTCCCATATCTTTGACATCAAAGTATTCCAGACACAGGAGTAGTATTCTACTGGACAGTCCGGTATTTGCGCTCTTTGTCCGGTAAAAAAAAAATCAGAGAATACTGGGCATGTGCAATGTCCAGTATTTTCTGATTTTTCCAACTGCGCACCAGCCGGAAGCCTAGCGTGGGTGGGGGGAGTGGCTGGAAGGGGGGGCCACGAACAGCACTAGGAGCCTGTGATTGCACAGAAGCCTGGCGTGGGCGGGGGGAGTGGGTGGGAGTCCGCCCCCACGTTTTATGTTTGTTTGTTTGTTTGTTGTTTTGGGGTTTTTTTGCTCGACCAAAAAATACCGGGTATCCGGTATTTTTTGGGAGACCATCTGGCAACCCTACACAGGAGGACTATGACAAATGTGTAAAACCGACCTGTTGGCCTTTTTAGGGTTTCATAGTGTGTCAGTACAAAATGTGGAGGGTCATTGTGAAAAGGGTTTAGAAGGGTTAGCCATCTGTATCTGTGTTCCTAGTCCCCGGCGCCTCCCCCCAGCATTGCTAGTTGAATCTGGAACCCCCATCCCTCGGTGCCCGTCAGCCCCGGTCTGCAATGCTGCCAGTAATCATGTCTTGCCTTGCAATGCACCTCTAAGCCCCGACTTGCTGTTCCAGTCCAGACTGTTCAGCCAGCAAAACCGGCCTAGCCCGGGACTGGTAACCATACCCGATTGTGCTTGTCTTTAAGGCTATGTCCACATGACACTTCTTTTTCGGAAAAAGGTACGGAAATTGTGCTCCGCAATTTGCGTGCCTTTTTCCGATTGTTTTTTCAGAAGAGGCTTTTCTGAAATTTGGTCCATATACATTGGGCCAAATTTTGGAAGAACTTCCTGTGACGTAGTGGGGGTACCTGGCTGGTTTCTATGCTGCTGGCTCTGGGGTAACCCCCACTGGCTGCCGTGGGGACCATTCGGAAAAAGGTACGGAAATTGTGCTCCGCAATTTGCGTGCCTTTTTCCGATTGTTTTTTCAGAAGAGGCTTTTCTGAAATTTGGTCCATATACATTGGGCCAAATTTTGGAAGAACTTCCTGTGACGTAGTGGGGGTACCTGGCTGGTTTCTATGCTGCTGGCTCTGGGGTAACCCCCACTGGCTGCCGTGGGGACCATGACCCAGCAAAACAGGATGAGTCACTATGCAAACCAGTATGGCCAGACACCCCCCCATGGAGAGGAACAAAGGAAGGTGGAATGCTGCCCTGGCTGGGGGGCAGGGCTGGAAGAGAGTTAGTTAGTGGCTGGCTGTTGGGGAGCATGGAGGAGACAGCCTAGGGAAAGGGGCTGGAGTTTAGGGGCCCAGTCTCCCCCATCTCAAGGGGGCCTGAGGCATCCTAGCCCAGCTCTGTGACCAGATTCCATCTGTGCTGTGCTGTATCCTGGAGAGGCAATAAACTTCCTCTATTCCACCGGCTGGTGCAGTCTGTTTGTGCCATTTCGGGGTGCAGGAGACGGGGGACCCCCAACGCGCCGTCACACCCTTCCAACACCCACAGGGCTCCCCGAAAGAGTGCGTTTGCTCTTCTGCAAAAAAAAAAAAATGGAAGAGCAAATGGCATTCCCTGGACACGGTGAAGTTTTTCCGGGATACCGCCAGTATCTGGCTCATTTCAAAGTCATTTACACCGTCAGGGTTTAGAGGTGGATGCTAGTGGAAAGGGAATGTGTCCAGGGGGAAAGTTTCGATTCTCTTTTCACAACTTCAACAGCAACAAAAGATTAAAATAAAATCCATGCTAGTAGCCTCAGAGACTCACAGTAACTTCCACAGCGATAAAGCCACACGCACAGCGTAGTCCTAATGAAGACCACGGTGATACTAAGGCAATGAGTCTACCCAGCCAGCTCAAGCCACCTCACAATGATTCTGGGTGCACATCCCAACACACAGATACAACCTCGCAATAAGAATTTGGTAGCGTACCAAGTCTGCTCTCACTAAGTGGATGAGATCTGTGCTCAAAAGGAAGGGGCGAATTTTACCCTTCCAAAGAGTAATTATTATTTCTATGTTGGGGCTGCTGATTGTTAGATTAATCTCCATCATCTTACTGTTATTTACCCTCCCTCTCCTTCCCCCCCCCCACCATTTTGTTTGTTGTATCCATCTGATGCTCTTTGTCACAACAAAAATGACAAGGGGTTTGGCACAGGTACCATATGAAGAGAAATGTTAAAGAGTGGGACTTTTCAGCTTAGGCAAGAGGAGACTAAGAGTGGATGCGGATATGACAGAGGTCTATAAAATCATGACAGGTGTGGAGAAAGTGAATAAGGAAAAGTTATTGATTTGTTCCCATCACAAGAACAGGCAGCAAGTTTAAAACAAATAAAAGGAAGTTTTTCTTCATGCAATGCACCGGCAACCTGTGGAACTCTTTGCCAGAGGATGTTGTGAAGACCAGGACTTTAACAGGGTTCAAAAAGGAACTAGATAGATTCATGGAGGTTAGGTCCATTGATGGTTATTAGCCAGGATGGGTAGGAGTGGTGTCCCTAGCCTTTGTTTGGCTGGGGCTAGAAATGGGTGACAGGAGAGGGATTCCTTGATGATTCCCTGTTCTATTCATTCTCTCTGGGGCACCTGGTATTGGCCACT